GATCCCCCCGCCTCAGCCTCCCAAACTGCTGGGGGCTAATGTTTGTCTTGTAGAGATTCCTGGGTTCTCATTATGTTGCTCAGGCTGGAAAAAAGCTTTAATGTAACCAAGGATGCTACCATCCCACCAGAGAGAACCAGGACCAGCTGAGGTGCTTAAGAGGTGGGTAAGAAGGCAGTTATGGAACACGAGCCACAAGCGCAGAAACCAGGCGCGTGAGCATTATTTTCTCCCTTGGTCACGAACGTCTGTCAGGTACGTGTGTGTGCACTACAGCAGCAGCAGTTTTGTTCCCTCTGCGCCTCCACAGAGGAAGAGGCGCGCACTTTCGGCTGTCTGCAGGACAGCTGTATCACGTTAACTAGGACCTTGCCATCTGCATTTGGAGATTTAAGTCTGGGCTAAGGAGATGCGGATGGGTGCTGAGCTGGCCGGGCGGACACATGGTTAATTTCATGTGCCAACTTCACTGGGCCACGGGATACCCAAAATATTTAGTCAAACATTATTCTGTGCTTCTGGGTGAGATTAACATTTGAACTAGTAGAATGAGTAAAGCAAATTGCCCTCCTTACTACGGGGGGCACCTCGCCCAATCAGCTGAAGCATGAACGGAACAAGAGGCTGCCGGCACCCCGTGCCAGGATCTGCCTGACACCGGCCCGCAGGTCCTCCTCGCCAGCCGCCAGCCACCAGAGCCTGTTCCTCACCATATACCCACACACCCCTCCCCTGCTGGCCGTGTCTCTGGAGAACCCCAATACCAATTTTACAAAGAATAAAAGTATTCTTGATCACTTACAAATATCTCTACAGAGGTCTTTATACCTTAACACAACTTTGTATCCTGAAATACAAATGTTACTTAAAACAGGCACGTCCGTGTTAGGATTTAACGCTTTCATTTCAATATCCTAGGCATATGTCCAATACTTCTTTCAAGTTTCTGATCCTGCTATTCTCTCAGGAAACTAAAACCAGTGCATTAAGTGGCCACCATATGACAGGCATGAGCCACCCACCCACCACACCTGGCCACATGTGTTAAGCCTGAACA